TAACATCCCACATGCAAAAGTGAGGGGCCAGTGTAGGCATACAAGATTGAAATCAAGTAGAAAGTGAGCATCCAGAATGAACGGGTGTAACTCTGAAATGAACCAAAGAACACGTGGCACACCATACTACGTTACTGGAACAGCTATGCCCCTCACCCTGGACAAAGGAAATGAACCTGAAACGGCCAGAAAAGAAGAATGTGTGCAAGTGCAATTTCTTCCGAGAGATACAATCCATAGGCAGAAACAATCTGATTTAGCTATGTATATACCCAACCTCAACTGGACAGACGAGGTTCCACAACTTGCCCTTTGTATGAGGAGGTTGAGGATTAATCAGACAAAAATTAATATGGAGTAACATAAACGTTGTGTCTACGGCATGTGAACTGTATTATATATACATATGAACCCCAACCATAAGTAAACAGAGTGTCATAGGTCAAGCAGACGAAATTACAAAGACAATCTCCCCAAAACATCTTAGGATCAAGAAGTACAACAAACCGAACTCTGCATTATGGGGTCATGATGTTGCCTCAACTCAACCATAAGAACAGGGCAATATCAAAATTTAGCTAGTCTAAAAAGTACATAATAATAACAGACACATAAACTGACTAAAATTACTTAAAAACAAAGTAATAGTCAATATCTAACTTACAATAAATCTAAATTAACTTAGACAACAATGGACACATAAACATCTAACTTACCAAAATCTGAGCACCAACGATGTGAAATTGTTAATTCTCCTATGTGTAAAGAGGGACAAAGCCACACAAAGTGCATATGAGTCAAGCACACCACAAGTATTGCAATTAGGTGTGGAGTGTACAAGTTGAAAACTTATCACCAATTCACAGAGAGGTCTGGAAGCAATAGGAAAAGCTCCACCTGTGTCAACGATGTGGACACAGGAGCAGGAAAAGAAAACTAGTGAAATCATCCTCGTTTCAAACACACAGAAAAAAACTGAATATGTACTGACCTGAGTAACCAGCTACAAAAAAAAGATGTGGAAGGTGAAATCTCCTGACAGACCAAAATAAGAAGGTACTAGAAAAAGATAGTCCAAACTGTCTTCTCCTTGACTGTATTCTTCCTCAGCAACATTGTCAGATTGAAAAGGAGAAGAAATTGCTAGCCAAATGTACGAATCTAGTTCCCTGTGAAATCTCCTAAAGAGATGCAGAGTCTGACAGACCAAAATAAGAAAGTACTAGAAAAAGAGAGTCCAAACTGTCTTCTCTTTCACTGTATTCTTCCTCAGCAACATTGTCAGATTGAAAAGGAGAAGAAATTGCTAGCCAAATGTACGAATCTAGCTCCCTGTGAAATAAGGCCCGTACCTTCTATACAGATGGTCGAACCCGATTCCTGGGAAGTAGAACCATTGTTGACTTTAATGGGAACTACTGTAGTTGATACATTGAATCACAAATTCATATGAAGTTCTTGTATAATTCGGTAACAAGAAACAAATGCAAAAAAAATATTGTTGAAACAACTGAATGCAAAGACAGTAGAAGAAGACTGTTGAAAAAAAATTTGAGATAGCAAATAAGCACAATCGTAAAAGGTAGCCACGTGTGAAAAAACACACATCTAAATGAAGCTGTGCCAATCACAAAAGTGAGGATTGAGCAAGAATAGCAGAGGGAGCTAGCTGCACCAATATAGGTGACACAATACTATTGGTAGAGTGTAGTCATATGATATTTACATGTTTAATAGTGGTGTGAAACTGGTGGGACAGATGTGTTGAGTTTGACATTTTTATAGTAATGCTTAGAGGGCAGAAAGAAGATTGAGATAGCTTTGTGTGAAAGGAGGTAAGACTGTATTGGAAGTTTCCAGTTAAGTGAATTCTCCTCCTATTTCTTTTCTAGTTATTGAACTGATAACGACAATGTAGTTCTTTCAAAGATGATTCTTTTCAAATATGGTTTTAAATTAGCTGATATTTCCATGGTAAAACCAAACACTAATGAAAAAGTACCTATCAGAAATACATTTTCAGTATAAGGAAGTTTTGGTCAAAGCATATTTGTTAATTTTAAATAAGTTGTTTAAGTAATGTAATTTTGAGTAATAGTTTTAAGGTAGCAAAAGTTAATAAAGTGTTTCTTTTGTTTTTGGATATTGTTTCTTGGATGTAGCATCGAATCGAAACAACTTGCAACACTGGTCCTTATGAAGTCTGAGTCTACATTCATTATAATTAATTTAATCTTACACTTGTAGCCACCCAATAGTATTCTTCTTAGGACAAATTAAGATATTAAATTTAATAGTATCATGTGAGTTGTGTATAAAGAAGTTTACGTTTAACGGAATGACTTCTGTCTTTAAAGTAATTCAAAGTTAAGTAGAACAACTTTGAAAGGTACCACTATGCCCTATTAAAACCTGTCACAAGATAAATGAAAATAAAAATGTTCTATATTTATTATTTTAATTAGAAAATGATTAATAAATTAATAAATAATTTAATAAATGTTTTGTTTTGATGTATAAGTTGTTCGTGTTTTTTTTTAGCTGAACAAAAGCAACATTAATTTCTTGATGATCCAATAATTATAATTAAATATTTTTTTAATTCTAATATTAATAATTATTGTAATTAATTAATTACAATAAATTAATTGTAATATTCATTTAGTAAGGATGTCTTATTTTTTAAAATGAAAGCCTAAATTGTTTAGATACTTTTATTTGCATGAACAAGATATCTTTATGTAATCTTAAACAAAACATTAAAAGATCATTATAAGTATGGTTGTCACCAATTACTACTATTAAAACAGTAATAATTTGTAATGAGTGGGAGAAAAAATTAACCTTTTTTACTTTTGAATTATAATCAATAAATGGATTAATTACAGAACAGCTCGTGGAAATAACCAGGGAACAGCTCTGTCTTTTGTTAGTATGAAAGAAATTCCCTTTATGGAGGAAGTGGAGAAAGAATTTGAAACTCCATCAGGTAAGTTTCTGTCAGTTTTCTTATTTACTTATGGTAATGTTATGGCATTTTAAAATTTTTATTGGATCTTCTTATCTTCGTTTTCTGCTTATTTTTATTATGAATTCAAAGTAAATATTTTATGTGGCAGATAAATCTTTTTACTAAGATATCTTGTAAAAATTTGGTGAATATAATTGGATTTATGCAGAATATTTATGGCCTAATTTTTTGTAACTAACAAAAATCTCTTTTCTGGAATTTTTTCTTTTTTTCTTGGAAATATTACAAGCTAATTTAACACTTTTTCTATGGGCATCTTTTTCTGCTCATCATGTGTGAGTTGCATTCAAAATGTAATTAAAGTACTTTATTATTGTGGTATATGAATAAATTTGGCATCAAAAGTTATTTAGTAATTCAGAATTTTAATATTATATAAGTTTTAAATTTATAATTTTATAAGGCAATATTTTAAAACATCCTGAATGTCTTCTAGTATGAGTAGTGACAATTGCTCTCTAGGTATTTCCTCTTCTCTAATTTATTTATCCACCTCTCTGAGAAGTACGAAATTTGGTGTAAATTATTCATTATAATGTTGTCATCACTCAGGCAAAGCATAATTTCTATTGCCTTCAGTCTTATTTGGTTACAAAGCCATAAAATAGAAAATCAAAACCTCCTTGCCACAAACACCTGTCAAATCTCTTTCATAAATTGCCAATAGTTCTCTCTAATGTTTAATACTTTATTATTTATAACCAATTAAAAGCCAAAGTTTTAATCTATCAAATGACATATTACACTGTTTACTGTACAGAGATTTATATATTTCACCTCCAGTTCAAAATTTATTCCCACAAGGTATGTATTGAAAAACAAACATGTAAAATCAGTTAAGGGTATGGAGTTGAGTGCTTACACCCACAACTTCTCAACTGCTACTGCAGCTAGTTGTGGGAAGGTAGTTACCCTTAAAAGTTCTTATAATTCCTAATATAGAAATTAAACCACTCTAACATTTCTACTATATGCAACTCCCAACCTCCATCCTTACAATAGAAATAATAAAATTTTAAAAATAACTATCTGAAATAGAACTACAAGCCCTACCTTAATATTTCTTATGTGTCTAGGTCAGTGGTTCTCAAACTTTTTCATCCCCGTCCACTTTGGTTAACAAAAGACATTGTGAACCACCTTCTGGTCCTACCCAACCTATTTTTTTCTCTCATATGGCTGTGGCATTGTGCATCAGTAGTGACCTTTACTATAACTTCTTATGTATTTTCACGAAATTTCAAAAGCTTTCAGTAATCATTAAGAGTCTTTTGTAGACAAAAAATGATACATTTTAACAAAGTATTTTCATTGAAGATTTTTCCATGAACATATGGAGTCAAAGTGTTGACTGTTTCAAATGTAAAGTGATTTGTATGTTAAGATTAAAAATACTTTTCTTCATCTGAAAAATTTCAAACTGTTTGTGTCGTCTCCAAAATCTTCTAAACCAATTTCAAACGTTTTTTTGCCAGTAAAACTGTTTTATCTGTTATTTTTTCTACCTTAACTCTATGAGACCAGTCAATATGACCAACCTCATAAACACCACAAAGAAAAATCTAAATAAATCGTAATTAACTTTTTTTTCTTTCTAGAATGACTTCAAATTGTAACAGGAAACTACATTTGTTTATCCTAAATAGCTTTAAACTTGTAACATTATGCATCCATTTATACTTAAATTTTATTGTTCTTTGAACCATGTGTAACTAACATTTCTGTCACACAAGTTGTAAATCACTTGGCTAATGTGTAGCTTGTGAGATAGCAAATTCTATTTTTAGCCACAGCATAGCGGCTCACAGAAAGGCTCTGTAGGTTTTTTTTTTTTTTCTTTCTTCTTCTTCTTCTTAATAACTCTGCCATCTCTTTACCAATTTGAGATCTTATTACAGTTTTGGACTAAGGTAGAAATCCTGATGAATAATAAAATTGAATTGGGTATACCTGCGCCCCATGCTTGGTATTGCTAATAAAAAGGAAAAAAGGGTCTCTTAGATTAACTTACTTTAATTCTGCCTAAAAGAGGACTTACTTCTCGACAAGCTTTAGATAGTTGGACCATTTAATAATGACAGATACATTGACAAAACAACAAAAGTATTTACACAAACTTTAACAGGCTTTTAGTAAAGGTTACAAGTCTGTATTACACTGAAAAATCCGATTTTGGAAATTATTTTTGCTAAAGATACGTCTGTGTACTTAAGAAGTCGATCCAAGTCCAAGGCAATTTCGATATTTCATTTGCATAACGTCTAGAGCCTCCAAAATGAATACTGAAAACTTATTTTGGTGAAACTTTAAATTTTATCTGTTATTTTCTTTGTTCTAACACTAATTATCTTGGTTTTGGTCAATTCGACCAAGCTTGTAACCATGTAACAAAGAAAAGTAACTAACTAAATATAATTTCTATAACAATTTCACTTTGTAACAAACAGTTACACTCTACTTAGCTGAAGCTAGTAGAACTTACATTTAGTTTTTTTTTGTTTTTTTTGCAGTTGCACATAAATCTTCTTATAGACTATGTCTGAATCTGAAGTATTGTCTTTCTCAAACTTTTGTACTCATAGAATTGAAATCTGTGTGAAAATTTAGGCCTAAATCTAAGTAACGATTGTGTGGTCTCAAATTGCATTTTTTTTTCTTCATCTTTTTCAAAGTTGCAACTTGTGTACAAAATATTCATAAACTAATATAATTTATCTGGCTTTCTAACTAAACTATAAGTTGATTAAATAATTCACATATCCTGTCAAGCAGGGTTCTAATCTAGCAAACAAAGATAACAATAATAAAATATTCAGAACTGTTTATTCCAATGAGAAATTCCATGGAAAGTGTCATTTGATTCAGAGAAATGTAGATTGAGAATTTATTTAAATGTTTCTTCTTGAAATTAAGAAATTGCGACTATATAACAATATATGAGTAACAAACTAAATTTTGAATGTGATTGTAAAAAGGTAGTGACATGTGCACTTTGACTCACCTGTGCTTAAAGGGTTAATACATGTATTACACACAGAATATTATCTTTCGTGAGAATTTTCCCTTTTTTGACGTTTATCACCTGTATTTCACAGGATATTAAGTCTTTCACGATACTTTTCTCCCTTAGTGAATGCTTTTCATCTGTTTGTCATACATATCTTTAGCAGAAGATTTAATTTCATACATGCCACCAACCCCTGTACAATTTTCACATATTACTAATACTTGTAAGTCATTGCAAATTCTGTATATTTTGCTTCTTTACTGGATATTTCTGTGGAGCACCTAAAACATCTTCGCACCATCATTTCGGAATCACTACTCTTGACTATATAATATTTAAAATGGTATTTTTATCCACATCTGATTTGAAATTCATAATGGACTGATTAAGGAGAATGTGAAAATAACATATATTATATATGCATTGTGCTTTTCCAAGTTTCTTTACATAATGTCTTGATGTGCGTGTTCTAGAAAAGACTATCTAATACATCGTTCAAGTAAACTAGTACATTATAATACTCACCCTAGCACGATATCTGAATCCATCAAGTTCTTCCATCTTAAACTGGTACGGTCTGAAAATGCTACTTTCACCTGAAAAGATAATACGAACACAAATTAACCAGGTGTATACCATATGTCATGGTCACCAAAATATTATACAATATCATTTATTTACACACCTTTAACTTATCATTCCACATCAAGGCCAAATTAATTTGATTATAAATTACTACCTAGCGTGTTCTAGAAAAGACTATCAAATACATTGTTCAAGTAAACTAGTACATGATATAGGCAGCATCAAGACATTATGTAAAGAAACTTGGAAAAGCACAATGCCTATATCAGAGTTCGTGATGTTGATGTCAAAACTGTTTCTGGACATGCAAGAAGAGAAATAACCTTTAGCACATTGTCTGACCTTTGAAACACTTTTTGCTCACCTGTTGAGGTTAAGTGATACATGTCTAGTACAGCTAGCATAAAATAATAGATGCATTATCTTTTAATTGTTTTTATTATTTATTTTCCAATGGCGATAAGATATTTGAGAGAAATTTAGCCGTTAACCTCAATGTAGCCCCCCAGTGGCAAAGCTGTATGTCTGCAGACTTACAACGCTAGAAACTGGGTTTCGATACCCGTGGTGGGCAGAGCACAGACAGCCCATTGTGTAGCTTTGTGCATAAATTCAAATAAACAAATAACCTCATTGTAAGAGACATAAAACCAGCAGGGGACAGTAGTAGTAACTTTAGGTGTAATTTCCAAAAGATTTCAGAATTGACAATGGTTCTTGAAAATTGTAATGTATAGTGTTATTGCTTTGGTTATCTTACCAAAAGTACTTCGTTACTTGATCCAGGTGTGTGTGGAAACTAATGTAAAGGAAGTGATCATTAAAAAGTCATGAAATTACATTTCTGCACTATGTAGAAACTCTGTAATGTTAAATGGTTAGCATGCCAAACTGTGGATTGCAAAAAATAGTTACTCTCCACACTGTGGGACTGAGTGTGATGATCAAGTTACACTAATCGGTATGAGAAGAGTTGGTGGTGGGATCTATTGGATAACTTCCGTTCCCTCTAGTGTTGTCAGTTTAAAATTTGAGATGGCTGGTGTGACGTTTGGCAAACAATCTGATGTTAACTAAAAAGGAATAAATATTAGTACATTTTTTTTATTTTTGAATACGAGCAGGAGGTGGTTGCTTTTACTGAAAGCTTCTCATTTAACTGTGTTGGGTGTAATTTGTAATACTTCCACTTGTAGTGGATAACAGTAGTGAACATTTGCATCAGGGTTGGTTGTTACACGTGCTTTGAGAACTAGTAAGTCACATGACAAATAAAGTTGCAAGAGAAGACAGATCGATATATCTTGAATATTATTCCACGATGTTATATTTGAATAAAGTATTCTATCATGTCTCGACAAGAGAGATCTCTCGTAGTGACATAAAACCATGTGGTTCACTTCCTCCCCATTTCAAGTGTTTTAAGATTCCACACCATCATTTGAGTGGGATCGTAATTACTATTAATTAAAACATTGATTTTAGATTTTTCCAGTTAAAAAATGGATCGAAGCAATTAGACAGAAGTATTTTTTTGGAACAAAGTATTAAAATAGCCTGGTACTTTATATGAAACAAAATTTTAAGAACTGAATTTGATAATTTTATAATAGTATTTAGTAATTTAAGAATACCCTGTATTTAAAAAACTAGGTAGCTCCTAAAATGTTCACAAAATGTAAAGATAAAGTACCTGAAAAAGAAATAGTGTTACCTTACTACTGTTAATAGGGTATGTTTATTACCACAAAAATTATCATCAAACTTTGGTAATTTTACATTTGTTTGAGTTTTTACTGATAACATTTCTTATATACAAGTTTTCCCAGCTAGAATTACTAACATTTTTCGTGAAATATGTAAATTTAAAAACAAAGATTTGGTGTTTAACAGTGCTATATCCCTTAATCCTAAACAGTCTCTCTTTTATTATTTATTTCCTGTATATGGGTTCAACTTCTACCAATTACATCAAATATCAACTACTAACAAATGAGCTAGATAAAAAGAAAAGTATATTACAAAATGTTTAAATAATATATATATATAGGCTTTCAGCATTTCTAATGTAATTATTTAAAAAATGTATGTTTATGTACGTGAAAATTTTGTATAGAATAGCTACTTAGAATTTTTTTGCTAACTTGGAATAAATGTCATATATGATTAGAGTTGTTCGGATTTATTGTGTCAGTAAATTTGTGACCTTATATTGTAAATGTTAAAGTTTCTAATGCACTTGGGAAAAAAATTATAAACCTTTCATGTGAAGAATAATTTTTAAGGATTTGTCACCAGATGTTGTTTTTGGCTGATGAGAATACCTTGTCTAATTGTTTGGTTTAGTAAGATTAAGTGTTTTTCTGTATGTAGGATGCACTTAGAGCAGTCACTCGGATTGCTGTTCGAGAAGCACGGTTGAAGGAACTACGAACTCAGCTTCTCAACTCTCAAAAACTGAAGGTAAGTTACGACTTGAGAAACAAGGTACAGAGACTGAAGTGTATTTGCCAGTTTTACAAGTGACTGTTTGGAAGATATTTTCTTAAAAACTGTAAAGGTGAATAAATTGAAGTTCTGAAAACAAAACCATTACTACAGTTTTGTTATACTAAGTGATATTATCCTCTTTATATGTTTTTGTCTTCTAAGGACAACATAATATATTCATGTGTTTTAACTTTCTTTCAAGTCATACTTTGAAGACAATCCACGTGACCAGCAGCTTCTTCGGCATGATAGAGCCCTGCACATTGTGAAACAACAGCCACACCTGAAAGATGTTCCAGACTACATAGGTGTGTGTAACAGGATTATCTTTAGGGATTAAGGATTATCTAACAGGATTTATCTTTAGGGATTAAGGATTATCTAACAGGATAATCTATAGGGATTAAGGATTATCTAACAGGATTATCTTTAGGGATTAGGAATCAGTTAAAAATGTGATTTTCCTTAGAGAATTTTCTTTTTAGGAAAAATTTACCTAATTTGCTTTCATTAGCTTAATTTGTTTTAATATTCTTTATGAATATTTTCCATTTAATTCAATACCATTATTTACATTTTATTATTCGTTTACTTATTACTATTTGAATTATTTTTCTCTCCTCCTTTTACTAAATCTTCAGTATGTCTGCACATTTCTTTGTTAATTTTCCTTTCATCTTCCAAATCCATTAATTTATTTCCTCTTCAATTCCATTCATATTTCTTCTTCTTTTTTTCCTTTTGATTTCTTTGCACTCACATGTATATTTCTTTGTCTTTTACATTTTCCAATCCCACGTATTTTCTGTCTTCAGTGAATATTTCCACAACTGGATCTGGTCCATGAGTTTTTAAATTATATTTTTTTATATTCCATCTTTAATATTGTCTCAACAGTATCTTCTCTTTCTTGTGATTATGTACGGCATGATGGAATAAAATGGTGGCGATAAACAAAAAAAAAATCGTTTATGGAGTGAATCAAAATTTCATTATTTAATGCATTTTCATATATGTAAGTAAGTGATTTTTCTAGACAAGCATATCACATAACTCCTCTGTCTGGGGCACCAATGATTTCTTTTTCGTGCCTAAATACCTACTAGTGTGTGTGTGTGTATGTATGTGTAAAATGGAGGATGCTCTACTTTGGGTATATAATTAGATTTAAGGATAAAAACACACGTCTATAACAAAAACATTTGTTTATTATTACTTCAACGTATCAAGTAGAAACCTTTTATCAGGCAGTATAAACCGTGTTACGTGGAAAGAAGGCTTAGACAAAATTGTTGAAGGGAAGGGTTAACATTTTTCAGCATTTTTTTCATTAGATTTTAGGGTAGATTGTTAGAGATCCTGAGGAGTAATAAAATTGAATCGGGTATACTCATGCCCCATGCTTCGTTTTGCTGGTGCAAAAAATGTAGCTAATAAAAAAGAAACAAATAAGTACAATAAATTAAATTTTATACAGACAAGTACAACTCGAGATACATGTAACCTAGCTAGCTATAGTAATAGAGAAAGCTTTAATGCTACAAAAAATATTGAAACAAGAAAGTCAAAACTACAAATCTAACTCTCTCTATATTACTATAGCTGTTCTTCTATGCTCTACTTTTTGTGGATGTTTTGTTTTATCTTTAATCCTTGTTAATTCTTTTACCACTTTTTGTACAGCTGTAAGATGAAAAAGTATTTTTATACTTAACGTGAAAATTACATTCCACTTGCACTATTAAGGGTCTTAGTGTTAATGACAACAATAAATAACGAATTTGTGGTACAAAAAATCAAAATGAATAAATATATTTTTCTGAAACTACCTGTCTATAGGAGAATTCCTGTCAAGTTTCAAATAATATCATCAATCTTTTTCTACTTGATTTTATTGCCCTTTGAACTGTGTCTAACTAATAATCCTGTCATGTAAGTTGTAAATCGCTAGGCAAATACATAGCTCACATTACTGTAATGATTGACGTAACACATTAACCACTTGCTAGCATACCTTGTGGCAAATGATAATTATTACTATTGTCCCTCGGTGGAACAGTGGTAAGTTTATAGTGTAATAATGGGCGTTGTTGGGTTGATTATTCTCTCCTTACAAAGTAACTCATTTGAATTTTGAGTTGTGAGGCCACCAATGTGGGGAAGTAAAGAACGTGCACAGAGATGACTGAATACAATCAAATAACTTCTTTATTGTACACCGTTAAACAGTTCATTTATATCAACTCTCAAGGTTGTTTTGCGATAATGCTACTTCTAATTATTTAATTCTTCATTTTGTTTTTAAAGTCTAAATGTTTGTTAATAAGACTTTCTATTACATTCAATAACATAGATACAACACTAGTTAAGTTATTAACACATGAAATTCTCTGAATCATAATCTGTATAACTGCATTAACAATTCTTCTAAGATATCTTTCAGTAGTTCCACTATAACCATTGTCAAATTTACTATTTCTTTAGTACAATACTTAATGTTTTTCACTTTCCTTTTTTGATACATTATTGAATCTTAGTTAAACACTGTTAGACTAGATCAGAAATTGTATACTTACAAGGAGTTTGTGTGGTGAACTTCTTGTACATCTGGATTACAGCCATCCTTAAAAGGAGTTTGTGTGGTGAACTTCTTGTACATCTGGATTACAGCCATCCTTACAAGGAGTTTGAGTGGTGAACTTCTTGTACATCTGGATTACAGCCATCCTTACAAGGAGTTTGAGTGGTGAACTTCTTGTACATGGCTGTAATCCAGATGTACAAGAAGTTCACCACACAAACTCCTTGTAAGAATGGCTGTAATCCAGATGTACAAGAAGTTCACCACACAAACTCCTTGTAAGACTGGCTGTAATCCAGATGTACAAGAAGTTCACCACACAAACTCCTTGTAAGATGGCTGTAATCCAGATGTACAAGAAGTTCACCACACAAACTCCTTGTAAGAATGGCTGTAATCCAGATGTTCTTGTGTTGGAAACGTGAATTATATACACAATTTTTAGTGTTTTTCCGATTGTTCGATAAGTTTAGCAGATCTACTTTTAAAAGTAGTTCTTTTAACTTGATTGGTACAAGTGGGATCTTCCAGCAACAAGTGAACTATTCCATCAGACTGTAACCAAAATCCGTGTTATTATTGGTCCTTACAGAACTTATTTCTGTCCGTTGTCTAGTATCTTTGGCAAAATCGTCCAAGACAATTAACTTGGGGTGTATAGAGAAAAACTGTGTACTTGGGGACTCTTCACTACCAGTATACCACTCTTGTCTTTCATCACAGTTCCATTAACTGCTTTTTGCAGCTTGGCCTCATTTCATCGTGCTTTCAACTTAGTATTGGAGTTTTCTTAGCATCCCACATTGATCTGACACGAGCTGTAAATTCTTGCCTTCGTGGGTCATGACTGGAATGTTGCTTTTAGCTTACTCCAACTATGGTTCAGGCCTGTATCTTCCCTATCTGGTGTTGTGGTATTCGATCTGCTACATGTTATAAAATATGGATGTACTTCTTGAAATATTTAATATACTAAGTATTTGTATGCAACAAATACTTCAGTATATTCTGTGTCCTTCTTAAATGTTTCTTTTGTCTTTGGATCTTATCTTCTTAAATACATATCTAATTTTGGTGATCTAAATGCTATTCTTCTTTTCTTTGATTTTCCTGTTTCTATCTTTTCTGCTTTAAATTCAGTTCTTTATTCTTCTGATGTTTCTAATCGAACCTTCTTAAGGCTCCTTTATTCTAATCGAACCTTCTTAAGGCTCCTTTATTCTAATTGACCCTTCTTAAGGCTCCTTTATTTAAAGGCAGGAAATTGAACTGCATGTCATATCCCATGTTCTTATTGTATTCCAAAACACAATTCGGTTTCTTTATTTTCTCACCAGTGTGATGATTTTTTTTCCAGTTTCAAACATCACATTTGTATTAAATGTAGTCAGCATATAAACTTGTTTGTCTTTCCATTTCAATATCATCATCATTGAATCATTACGTTTGGTTTCAACCTCACTTTTTTGTTTTTAGTTTAGTATTTAAAACTGGTAATTTTTTTATCTGCTTTTTTTACACTGCCTCAGCAGTTTTTGTTTTCATTAAGCAACTAAATAATAATAGGCTTGTGTACAAATTGTCAGCACGTAGAAGGTGACTTTTATTGAGGTTAGGCTCCAGTATAAAAAACTGTTCAAAATATACAAAAAGTTTTACGCCAAATCGATTTCTTTTTGAAGGAATATACTGCTTTAACCCCAGCCGCCCTTGAAATAATATCAAGCTCTCAAAAATGCATAGATTTTCAAATGGCTACATTACTTCTTGATAACTATTTTTAGCGTGCATTATTACATTCATTATCTTGTGAAGATTATCATTCACTTTATCTTTCAAGTTGTCACAAAATTGTTATAAATGAAGAATCAACAAAAATCTATCGCTGGACATTGAAAAATTTCCGTTTCCAACAATTTATCTTGTGATCACTATTTTCATTACATGTTTGTGGTATATTTTTTATCTCCTCTGCAATAGTTGATACAAATGAAGATAATATAAAATGTTCAAATCCTTTGGTGTATTTATCAAACTTCTTATCTCGCAGTCCAAATTTTCTGTTGTCAAATGTGTGCACTTTTAGTTGAAAGTATCTTTCTTTATTCGATGAAAACACTTTTTTTATTTTGCAGCCTTGAGTTGAATTATTGCTTTTGATGTTGATGTAACAGGTGTGGAACCTTCATTGTCTGCATTGTGATCTTCTAATCAGAGATCTTCGCTTTCATACACTCTTTCACTACTACCTGTATATTCTTTATCCATTTCAATTTCTGAGTCATCTTCCAAATCAGATTCAGGGGTTGTAAGTAATTCAGAAATTTACTTTTTCTATTAGAGTACAATGCTTTCTCTTTCCATTGGGAGACCCCATAATTGGGTATATTCTACTGTGTACTGAAAACAATGAAGATGCTTCAAGTAAAGTGCATTTTCTAGGCCAAAGAAGCAATAGATGTCAGCACTGAACAGCTGCGCTCAGCTCAGTCGAGTTTACTCAGTAGGAACAGTTAAAGGGTTAATTAGGTTCTAACATTTTAACAAAATGTAACTGTTATATTATTTTGCATTTTAATTAAACCACTTTAATATTTATGTTTTCTTTAAGAAAATCTACAGGTAATCATTCAAGGTGGCTTAAATTTGATCAAAGAATTTTGGTTCAGTAGAATTAACTTTAATGTTACTGACACAAAAAATTTGTGATGTACAGGACCATAAACTTTTTTCTTAGAATAGTGTGAAATGTTGTTACCTATCTGTTGTATTTAGTTCCTTCAACTCTGAGAAAGATGGTTACAATTAAGAAAGGATGGAGCAACAAAAAACAATTGTTTCGGAAACCTGAAAAGTCTGATGACCAGTCAACAGTAAATGTGGTTCAGCATACCCTGACAAAAGCGACAAAAAAAATTCAAGGTATGTAATTTTTTTTGAACCAACAAAGAATTTTATTCAATTCATATGAGTTATTTTGGGGGGCAGGATGAAATTCAGAAAAACATCAAAATCAACTAGTTTAACAAAACATAAACCTTTGAATAAAACAATGTTTTTTTTTGTAAACTTTTAAACTTATGTATGTTGTTCCTTCAATCAAAATAAAAGATATTTCTTAGCTTGAACCGGGAATAAAAAGTTGTTTGACCTATTTTTGTGAATTATATAAAACTTTATTTCACTATTCATTGATTTAATAATTATTTCTATATTTTGAACATTTTTAGCAATACTTAGTTTCAGTAAACGTAGAAATATCCAACACGTTTGTTCTCAACTTGTTTCACCCTTAACACTTTTTTCCAGAAACGAGAGGCAGATCCTTTGAGAAGCTTCCAGTTAGAAGAAACATCAGATTCTCTAGCAAAGAGGAAAAAATGATGGAAAATGTTATCAATGTGTATAATGATCGAATATTGTAAAATATTACTTGCTATGACATCTAAAGAAATTAAAGTAACCACTGGTTGTAACAATGATAATGTGTCAAGCCTCATTGAATTTATATCATAAAGTGGAGAGTCCATTTCATGTTCATATACTTCATATAAGTATCATATACTTCAAACAATAACTGTGTCAGCCTCAGTGTATATTTTGTATCCGTTTTGTTTTACACCACATGGTTCAAGGGGCAGTAAAGCAATAAAATTTAAGTATGAACAGGTATGTATACTGTCAGGAGTTTAAAGCCATTTGAAAGAAACAAATGCAGTTTCATGTTACAAGTTGAAGTTATTCTAGACAGAAAAAAAAGGGCAATTTAGATTTATTTGAATTTTGTTTTTCAGTGGTTTAGAGAAAATAAAATCTAATGTTTTATTGAAAAATTACGTTTGAAATTTATTTAAGAGGTTTTAAAGATTATGCAAATAAAATTTGAGATTTTTGAGACAAAGAAAAGTATTTCTAATCGTAACATGACAATCAATTTGCACTCAAACTAGTAAAAAAAACAACAATATATTCACAAACAAATGTTTAGTAAAAAACACTTCATTAAAAAAATCTGATTTTTGTGTACAAAACACTAAACTTTTACTGAAAGTCTCCAAAGGTACACATACCGTATTAAACGTTATAGTATGTGAAATGTACTGAGAACTCCATGGTTATGGACTCAGTCAATTTAACCAAGCCCATAGCACTGGAGTTAAACAGATAATGTTCATCAGATGAAGAGGTGTATTATTTGTAAAAAAAAATGACTTTCATAAAAACACATTTTTATGCAAAGAAAGAATTTGGTATGAATATTTAAATTTGGTATTTTTGGTAAAGACTGCAGTGAAATATAAATAAAACATGTTCTATGTTTCCTTAATGTGATAATGAACAGATTGAATTCCCATCTGGACATAAGACAGAGTTTTTGCTTTAGAATTATACCACACCAAGTGAGAAAAATGGTGGACAACTGTTGTCGTTGATTTTTTGCTCTAGAATTATACCACACCAAGTGAGAAACATGGTGGACAACTGTTGTCATTGATTTTTACTTCAGAAGTATACC